AGACAAAAAAAAATTAGAAAGTTCATGTCTTACTTTATAAACTATCAAAGTAATTTGGTAATCTGTGAAGTAATTCAGAAGTTAAATAAGAAGCAACATATTTTACTATGAATAGAGTGTATACTAACAAATGTATTGAAATTCTGTATTTGTAAGACAAGCAAGAGGAACTCAAATAAAGAACTTATTTTTTGGTAGTAGACAAAGGTATAGATTGTTAAATTAGTATATATTAAGCAACAAAGTTTTTTTCTTTACTTTTTAATTTGTCTTACTCTTAGTATGTCAGCCAAAGATCTTGTGTCTTAAGAAAAGTGTATGTCAAAATGTGGAGAAGTATTGTAAATAAAATGAGTGTTAAATATATAAAAGAAGTATTGAATATATAGGGCTTGGATATTAAACATAACGTATAGAGTATAGTGAGCTTTAAAATTATGAAAACAGAAGAATAACCATGAGGGCTAGCTATTAGAGGCATTTTTTTTAATTTAATCATTTAGACTATAAAAGAATTTCTAAAGAAAAATTATTAAAATTTTTTTTTTTTTTTTTGTATTTAGATCTCTAATAACTTTATAAGATTATTAATATGCTTGAATTATAGTTGTTAGATGACTTAAAGATCTTTGATATTGATAAAAATTTTTGAAAGGTGTTGAAATGTTAAAAGATAAGTTTGAGTTTCATGTGTTTTTACTTATTGTAGTTTATTAATTATTTTATTTATATTAATTTAATTATTATTCTATCTATAATTATTTATTATTAGCAAGTAATTTAGTTTTAAGGATTTTATTGTTAATACAAATTAAAATTTGTGTCAAAGATTTTTTAAACTTATGTTTATTTTTTTTCTTGATTATTGATAATAGGTCAAATTAACTAATAGATAACTTTTATATATATAAATCTAATATTTTACATAAGTATTTGTTAAAATATGAAAAATTAAATAAAAAAATAATAGTTCTGTATTTAAGATTCTTTTTTTTTTAAAAAAAAAAATCATGAAATTATACGTGTATAGCATTAAATTCAAGTACTGTAATAAATTATTGTAATTCTTAAATTTAAATAAATATATCTTTTATTTAATTAATATCTCATATCCTTTATTTAATACAAAATATTTACTTTGGCTTGTTTTTAATATAAATCTATTAACTAATCAGATTTTGTAAAATCACAAAATGATCTACAAAAATTATCCAATTAGAATAAACGTCTACTATGCTGCAGAAATCTAATTATACAAATTAAGTATTTGAATAATACTCTTCTGACTTTAAGTGAATTAAGAAAGCAAAAACTAGAATTATACAAAAGTAGTTACTGCATATTATGTTAAAAGAATCACTCAAAAGATTTTGACTATATAATGAGCTGCTCAGCCTTATAAAAATTGTAGAAAGAAGTTAAAAAGCAGTAGTTAAAAGTATAAAAAAAGTATAAGATAAGAAAAACTTTTTTCTTTATCAAAGAAGATAGAAGAAATTCTCTTTTTATAAAAAAAAAAAGATTGCTATAAAAGAAAAAAGGATCTTGTAGTAGGTCTTGAGGAAAAAGAAGTAGTAAAAAAACTACAAATATTAACAACAAAAAAGAAAAAAATAAAGAAATAGATAAATAGTATTTACTTTATCATGTAAAGAAGCTTTATAGAAATTATATAAAATTATTAATATGAAAAGTAAACAAATAGAAAAAAGAAAAAGGAATTATAACTAAAGAAAAAATAAGTAATTTAATAAGGAAAAAATAGGTAATAAAGACTCAAACAGATAAAGAAAAAAAAAGACTTTTATCAGAAAAGAAAAAAGAAAAAGAAAAAAAGTTTGAATAAATGATGTAGTAAATAAAATAGTATCAGAAGTAATAAAAGAAAAGAAAAAGAAGTAGTAGAGTTTTCTTTGAATTAGTCAGAAAATTTGTTCTAACCTTAAAGTTAATATAATAGGTTATACCTGAGTACTCTAGTAGCAGCCAGATAATGTCAGACTTAGGAAATTAGATAGATTAAATAATCATATTTAAGTTGGCTATAGCTATAGTTAACAACTTAATAAAGTTTATGACATGACTATCAAAAGAAAAAAAAAATTAATTTTGAAAAAGCTATCTACTTTTATAATGAAGCAATTTAAGTTTATAAAAATTATTTACTACAATAGATATTTGTAGCTTTACTTCTATTTTAATAACAAAATACAACATAAATTTTCTGACAAAGTAGCTATTTTAGTAGACTTAAGTAAATAAATAAATCTCTTATATTCATTCTTTTTAACTCCAATTTAATAGCTATAATAGTTACTAATTGCAAATATTTCACAAGCATTTCTGATATCACAGATTTTGATAGTAAATAAATAACTTATTTTTATTTTTAATTCTGATAACAATTACTATTAATATAGCTTATATTAGCATATTTTTGATATTTAAGTAGATGTTTTTTGAATTATTTACATTTCAAAAACATAACTCTTCTGGATTTAGCCAAATATCCTTTAATTTGAGAAGGTTTATTATCTTGGTTTGCGTTTGCAGAAACATTAGCTACTATGTAATTGACAACCACATTAGCACAATTATAACTACTTCAGCTTAGAACTGACTTCTATTATCGAACATTTCTTGAATTAAACTCAGCAGGAGTACATTGTTTTTTTTTTTTAGCTACAAAAAATATCATTTTATATAACTAATAAAGTCTCAATAAAATGAATTCAATCATATTAAGTACTACTTTAATTGCATTTGATATTTTTGTATACTAATAATTTTGCTAGTATACATAGGATCTGAGTGTTTTGATAATATAATTGGCAATTTTTTGATTATTTATCTGCATCTAAGAATTGCTTTTCAATATCATCTTTCTTATCATTATCATAATAATAATTATCGTTATCATTGTCACTTCTATTATATTCTATAAATTTATTCCAATCATAAAATTAATCTCGAACTTCATAAGTATTAGGTCGTTTGTGTGGATCTGAATCCATACATTGTTTAGCTAATTTAATATAGCAATTAGGAGTTTCAAAAGCACAAATCTTTATTGCAAGATTTACTTGTATATCAAATTAATAACCATAAAAAGGTCTTTATTTAGTTAACATCTCTGATAATGATAACTTTAAAGCCATAAATATCTGCAGCTGATGTAAACCTTTGGCCTGATAGTAGTGTTAAATATCTGAAAAATTTTTTTTGTTTTTTGAGAACATAAAATTTAAATTTTAGGTTCTCAGAAAGATTTTTAATGTTCTCAAAAAATTATTTTATAATGCAATTTACAAATTTTATGTTTTCAAAAATATTTTAATGTTCTTGAGAACACTGATAACATTATATATTAAACCCTGCTGGAGCGACGTAAGGCATGACTCCATAAATATCGCCTGATACATTTTCATTATTCTTTAGAGATAATTCTAGATCTTATGAATGTTATATAAATCTTCTGAAATATTCATAAGTAGTTTTAATTTAATATGCCAGGTAAGTTCTCGAAAATTTGTACTTAGTTACTTATGAAAATTTCCATTATCCGCATACTGCAATACCATAAAGTATTAATTGGTTTCTGCATTTTGAGTCATCCCATATATCGCAAGCTTATTATCATGTAAATTACATTTCTTATGATTGTTAAATTCAACATTCTCAATATTTATAATGATCAAAAGGAATCCATTCAATCATTTCCTTATACGAAATAGCTAAGTTGAAAGTCTTTTTATTTCTACTTGTCCATCATTGGATTATCTTGTTAACAATTTCCATATTTAAGATCACGACAAGAGAGAGAAAGATAAGAGGAAGAGAAGGAATAAGGATTAGGTGAGAAATAATCTTTCACAATCCAATCAACGAATTCATCGTTATCATAATGCACGCAAATGCCATATTGGTAACAACGGTTGTTTTAAAAATTCCCTTAGAATCTCCTGCCTTAGCTAATTTTGATAATATATAAATGCCTTATGCTTGTCTATTTCAACTCCAATTCCTAAATAATAACAATAGCCAACTTGATACATTCCGTTAGAATTATTCATATCCGCAGATTTTTTATGTTGAATGCCTGATTTTCATCTTTTTCAACTCCAATTCCATATTCGTAACAATAACGAAACCAGATAATTCCGTCCGAACCACCCAGCATGCTTTTAGCAATCAATAAAATTCTAAGTAGCCATTGGATCCGGTTCCATAAATGAAGGCCCTGCTACATCGTTAAATCTAGATTTCAAGGCCCTTTCTCTTAAGGTCCGAATCGAGAAACTTCCCTAGGTCGGTTACATGTTTATCCGTTCCATACATGTTCATATTTTCGTCATCAACATATTTGATACTATAATATTTGATATGGTAATAGTTGGTAATAGTTTTGCTGTATATCGATCGTATATTACTTGTTTTTCAAAGCTATGAAGAAAGGCGCCACAGCATGAAAGAGCCAGAACAGAGTCGGGCAGCGAAGGGAAAAAGCACTGCCGATTCCAACTTTCATAATCAAACCTTAAATACCCAATTCCTGTTTCACATCTGTTTTTGGGTTATAATAACCTTAGCATGACTTTCGTCATGCGTCAGGTCATTGTTTCTTAAATTTTGATATTAAAACTCACACCTTTTTAATTATTCCCGTGATTAGAATATTCTAGGCAATTGTCAATTTAGTTCTGAGATAATCGTAAATGATCAAAAAATGTGTTACGTACGTTACCAGAATTAAACCAATCTAGTATTTTTTATTTTTTAGTTATTTTTTTTTTTTTAATATATATTGTTAATTACAAGTATTTAGAAACAAAAATTCATATTATAATCGAAAATTTCTAGCAAACGAACTTTATTACTGAATTAACTAGAGTAAGCATTAAATAAATTGTATACTCAACATATTATTGATTTAAACTTTTTTATCTACGAATAAAAATTTATCAAAAAATCAGATAGATAGTTTTCCGATATATTTAGGAATGAATTACTTACCAAACTCTTTACAACACATTCGATGTTTAGAATTCTTTAGTGGAATAGGTGGTCTTGTAAGTATATAAATTTTCATACTTATTTTATTACAGAAATTATTAACATAAATTAAACTTTTTTTATTTTCATATAAATAGCATTATTCTTTTAATCTTGCATGTCCTCTTGGGAAAGTTGTGGCTAGTTTTGATATAAATATTATAGCAAATGCAACGTACAGGCATAATTTTGGCAAAGCTCCAAAAACGGTATTATATCCCTTATTAATTCATAAAGTTTTCGATTAAATTTTCAATCTATTATCATTATTATTTTCATTTTTTTAAAAAAAGAAAGGAATAGATTTTTTAAGATTAGATGACATTGAAAAATATAATGCAAATTGTTGGTTAATGAGTCCACCATGTCAACCATATACACGTGGTGGAAAAGGATTAGATGATCAAGATCCAAGAGCAAAAGGGCTACTTCATTTAATTGATATTTTACCAAAACTATCTAATCCACCAATTTATATTTTTCTTGAAAATGTGTTGAACTTTGAGGTATATCTATGTGTCATATTATTCTTTTTAATAGGTTTTTTTTTTTTTTTATCTTATGGATTTATATTTAAAATTTAGAAATCAAAATCTCGAGAAAAACTTATTTCTCAATTATGTCAGATGAATTATGAAATTCATGAATGTTTATTAACTCCTTTACAATTTGGTATTCCAAATGATCGATTGCGATACTATTTGATGGCACAGAAAATACAAACGTTTAATAATCATGAGAAGGTGATCACTCCACAGAAATACTTTGAACAAGCTACAATACATACATCTTGGCCATTCGAATGCATGTTAAATAATAGAGAAGATGATAAATGTCATCATTGGAAACAGCAACAGGGTCAAGAACTTTCCGAATTCACTATTCCTGAACTGAGCAATTATATTGAGAATCTTATAGATGAAACAGAATTAAAAAAATATCTAGTTCCTGAAAAGTATATTTTAAAAAGTTTTAATTTTAAATTTGGTATGTGTATTATAAAAAGTTTCAACGATGTAGACATATTTTTAAAAATTAAATAACTTATTTATAGATATTATAAGACCGACTGATAAACGATGTTCATGTTTTACAAAAGTATAATAATAATGTTTTTTTTGTTATGCAACTTATTTCATAAAAATTTATCCTTAAAGTATTTTTTTTTAACAATTAATAGTCCTATGGAAGTCATCATATATTTGGAAGTGGTTCACTTATACAAACTAAAAATTTAGAGGTATAATAACATCTATTATCTTTTATAATTATTAAAAATTAACTTTAAAAATTTTATTATAGTTTACGAATTATGATTTTGAAAATCCTAAAACATTACTTGAACTTGGATTAAGATTTTTTACACCAACCGAGATTGCAAAATTACATGCATTTCCTTTAAAATCTCAATTATCAACAAATTTAAGTATAACAAATGAAAGTTCAGTTAATAACTATACTCCAAAACTATATAATAATTTTAAATTAATGCAACCATCATTTTATTTGGAATTTCCTGACGATGTTAGTATAATTCCAAAATATAGATTATTAGGAAATAGTTTAAATGTATTTGTTGTTTCAGAATTGTTGAGATGCGTTTTGTTTAGCAACAGTTAATAAATTAATATCAATCCTATTTATTATGGTAATGTCTAGCATGTTGGTTTTTTTATAATTAGATAAGTTGGGTAATTTAGTATTTAAAATATAATTAATATACGATTTCACTCGGTAATGTATAGTACAAATTACATATTAGTTAAATATCTAATGTTTTTTACAAATTCAAAAAAAAAAAAAATTATATTTCCATTACACTTTTTTGATAATTCCACACCCCTGAAATAGTAGATTTTATCTTTTTTTTTTTTTTTTTTTTTTTTTTTTAACTTGATCGTAGATATCTTGAAATCTTTTAACCAAATTCAAATCAAATTTAGTTTAGTAAATGTCGAGATATCTTCGATCATAATTATAAAAACTTTTTACCGCAGATTATTTAATAGATGTTTTACGACTTCTTTTCAATAAAACGTTCTAAATGTTACAGAACTTTAAAGATATTTTTTAACACTTACTAACTAAATTCGATTAGCTTTTTTATTTTAATTATTGATATCAGTAGATTCTATAAAAAAATTTCATCAATTTTTCATCAGGTGGTATCAAGATTTATTTGATCAAAGTTTTGAGAATTTAAATAAAAAACTTTGATCTAAGATATCTGGCAACCAATTCGATAAATTTTAGACATTGGTAGAATTTGAATTAGACAAAGTGAATTTTTAAGTGTGTATCAAGGTAAATTCGATCAAAGTTTAACGAATTTGGAATGTAGGGTTGTTAATTGGTCCGTATTGTGAAGGGCTCCGGGGCACCAATCGACTTTTGTTTTTTTTATATATATATATATTTTTTGTATTTAGCGATTAGTGTTATTTGTTTTTAGTTAGTCAGTCTTTTACCTTATTAAGTAGAACTCGAAATTTAGGGTAAAGATCGTCGTACACGAATTCCCGGAATTCCTAGAATTCCTGCTATTCTCGAAATTCCCAAAAAAATAAGAATAATTTGAATAGCGAGAATAATGGCAATAGCAAGAAAAATTTGAATAGCAAGAATAATTTGAATAACGAGAAAAATAAGAATTATAAGAATAACTAGAATAGCTAGAATAACAATAATTCTCGTTAG